GGTCCACAGCCATTATAACAGCAGATGAACAACCAGCAAAGTGCAGCAAGTGGCCAGCAGAGGGCGACACTGCTCTTTGCGTCCCTGAGGAGGGAGTTCAAGGACAGGCTGGAAACCAGATCTGGGTGGATAATGAGATGTTTTTATCTCCAGGCACAGCAGCTGCTGCCTTGCACAAGGGCACGCAGAACCACAGCAGAATCTGAGACCAGGCTGCTGCTTTCAGGTCCACCATCAGAACCAGAGGAAACCAAACCCATATCTGCTAAGCTAATAAAAACAGAACAACAAGAAACCAGCTGAATTCTGGGTAAAGTAGTGTCTGGACCTCCTCTCACTTTGACTGCTTTTATCACCTGGAGACATGCAGGCGGACTCACCTGGTTCCCCCACAGGTTTAGGACCACCAGGTTGGAGAGCAGAGCCAGCTGAGGTGGGAGGAGCTTCAGGCTGTTGAGGGAAAGGTTCAGCTTCTCCAGCTCCTGTAGCTCCCACAGGTCAGCTGGAACGTCCTGGAGGACCAGGACAGGATGGGGAACAGATGTTTGTGGTTGCGGTTAAAACATCTCAGACCACAGAGACTGATGTGGTGGAATCCCTGCTTCCCTCCTGCATCGGGCGCCGTACCTTCAGACCGCGGCGTGCCAGGCTCAGCACGTTGTATCCAGACTGTTTGACGGTGAATCTTCTGATTTTGTCCGTTGATGTCAGGCTTCCCTCTCTACCAAGGCTCCTCCTCTTCTCCTCCTTCACCTCCTCCCTGCACACTCCTCCTCCCATCTCCTCCTTCTCCCCTTCTTCTTAGGACAGATGTTTACACCTGACCCAGACTGACCTGCGACCTTTAGCAGCTCTTATTGGATCACTGAAACCACCTCATGGAGACCTCAGGTGTTCCTCCACGTGTGTTTCCATCTAGAAGGATGAAAGAGGTTCAGGTTTGAGATGTTTCTAATCGTGTCTCCTGATGTTCCTCAGCTCAGGAACCTGCATCAGTTCTACCTGCAGGTGAAGAAGAGACACTAAAGCATAACAATCATTTTCGTGGCGATCACTGAGTCTGGGAGCGGCCATTTTCCCCCAAATATAGTAGCCCCTCCCTCCTGCCA